TAACAAACCAATGGGAAAGCATCTTACTAAGATTTCCATTCAATCATAGGGAACCAATGAGAAAGCAAGTAACTGAGAATTATGCAGTCACTGGGAACCAATAGAAAATAGTTTATATAGCTGATCTATGTTCAGTCATAACAAACCAATGGGAAAGCAGCTTACTAAATTTCATTCAATCATAGGGAACCAATGAGAAAGCTAACTGAGAATTATGGAGTCATGGGAACCAATAAGAAAATAGTTTATATAGCTGATCTATGTTCAGTCATAACAAACCAATGGGAAAGCATCTTACTAAGATTTCCATTCAATCATAGGGAACCAATGGAAAAGCAACTAACTGTGATTTTTGTTCTGTCAGAGGGAACCAATAGAAACCTTGATAGAATATTGCTGATACACTTACTGATAGCATTGAGACACAGACACAATGCTGTGGCCAGGTCTCCTTTCTTTTCTAACTGCAATGATTTGTCTAATAAACTTTCTGCTTCCTGTAAAAGCCTATCAACTGGATCATCTAAAACAGAAAAGAAAAAAAATCACACATTGTTAAAATTAACCCTTACAGGCAAGTTAACAATATGTACTTTTAAATTACCGGAAAACATTAGTTTACATTGCAATTCTGGTAGTTTAACAAAGTTGAAATTCTAGACAAACCTTTGCATTGAAGAACATCTGATGACAGACTGTTAAAATCCATGAGGTCATTACTACTATTAGATGACCTTTGACCACTGGTAGTACTCTCATTTTGATGGGTACTAGTACCCCTGGACGACACATGGGATGGAGGGAGCGTTCTATCACAATTCCTATCAGCTGGTCGGGTCAAGTTTTTGATTGGTAAATATGCATTACTGTGAAGTGCATTGTCAGAGGTTGGTGAATCGACCGAAAAACTGCTAGCTGAGCTACCGCTGGTTCGGTCTCCACTCTTGTAACCTGAATCACGGCGTCCAATCTGTCCTAAATCTGGAATGTCTACTTTGAGAATGTCTTTATGTATAGGCATGGGTTTAATCACACCAATGTTCCTTGCATCTCCATTGTGTTTGTACTTATCCTCTGGTCTGCTGTCGCTATGTCGACTGCTCTCGCTACTTGCGAATGATTCGGCACTACTATTACTGCTGCGATTTTGTCCCTTCATCAGATCATACTTCAAACCATGTCTCACCATAGGACCATACTCTGTAGGAATAACAGCAGATACATCATCATCTTTGACACTTCTTGCATGAAAGCTTGCACTCCTCTGCAAAGGAACTCGCTTCACACCTGTGGACGTGTTTGATAGCGCATTCTTCCCAGCGGCGGGCAGCTGCTTATTACCATCTTTTCGGCTTCCTTGGTAGAGTTACAAACCCTGATTTTATGATACCACCTCTAACCTCATCACCACTGGCATAACCTCTATCTTCAGGTCTTATCATATTTTCTCGAAACGGTAAAGCACTCCGTGGTCTCTGCGGTGGTTGGATAGCTTCTCTTAACTCATCCATCCCTCTTGTGTCCATACCACCCAGCGATTTCCTGCGATATCGTTTAGACTGTTTAGGTTCTATGCTGGGTTTGTTTTCAGTATTCCTCTGCTTGACTAACTTTGGAGTCATTCTTTTCAGTTGCTTAGGATTGGTAACATCAGATTTCTGGTAATGAGCAGACAGGGTATCCGGAACAACCTGAGAAGGTAGGTTATATCTTGCCTGCTGCTGCTGTTGTTGTTGAGGTGGATAATAGTATATATGCTGTTGTATTGGTTGCTGGCGGTATTGTTGCGTATACTGACTATACTGCAAAGGTCGACTGAAATGTGTCTGATCTGTGTACTCTTCATTGGGTTGGTTGAATGGTGCTCCATGCACTGGCCAATATCGCTGGTCATCGCCGTACTTCTCTTTGTTATCATTCAACCATTGTTCATGTATCTGCTGCAAATCTTTCAATTGTGGACTTCGGGGCGCAGCCATCGGAAACCCTACACCTGTATTTTCAGCATTCGCATGCGGCGTCTGATAGATTTGCTGCAGATCATCCCAGTGTGAATGGTCTGTCTTGAGAGTTTCTACAGACTTGATTTGTTCATTTTTCTTGACAGCTAGATTACCATATGGGTTATACACCAAGCTGTCGGGTTGATTGTCACCGTTGTTTGTGACAGGAATCCTGATAATATCGGCTCGTACATTATCTTTACCACCTTTGAAACTACCCCTCCGTTTCACTTTGGGAGATTTGAATGCTTTTGGGGATTTCGGGCCAGCAATATTGGTACTGCTAGACCTATCCGGTGGAATGGGGATCCCTTGGAATGGTTTCCTCCTTTCCATAGTGTTCAAATCCGTATAATCCTCTTTCGTGGAGGATCCACGAGAACTTTCAGAGACATTACTAGTTTGACGTTTTATGCGAAACCTGTCAAGCGATTTACTTCTGGTTTTCTTTTTATCTGAAGAATTACTACTCGTGGATGACGAGACAGATACCGTGTCGTAGTTTTCTTTTTTCATTTCATGTCCTCGTGCTCGGCTTCTGGATCGTCTAACTTTCCTATTCTGGGCATCATCAGTTGTGGATGCAGCCGAGGACATTGATTGCGTGTCAGTTGAAACTTCAGGTATAGTTTCCCTGGGTCTGTAAATGACAGTACCAGTAGAATCTGACGAATGATTGCTGAGACTACGAGAGCTACCAGAGCTGTTAGAGTTACAGCGGTTATGATCTTGACTGACTGGATCAATGTTGATTGGAATGCTGGGATGTCTACTCCGACATGCTCCGTCTGTTCCCCATGCTGTGAATAAAGAAGAGATTTATTTGGATTTAGTCAAGTTCATGCCCAAGGGTTCAATCGATTGATGAACTAAGTGTCCATTATATCCATGGGTGACAGTAATGACCTACATGTGAAGTGTAATTTCATAGTTGTGTATTGGTCGCTAAACAACTAAAATGATTTATAAATTCTGCACCGGTGTGATGTCATCATAATATTACACCTTACAGCGGTTTGCCATTCAAGAATGGTCAATATATTTTTGTAAAATGTAGAAGCATTTCACACTTAATTCATTTTAACCTTGATAATGTTAGTGCCTTTGACATTCAGAAGCCAACAAGATTAGGATTGAAAGTAGTAACTGACACAGATCCAAAGAAACAGGCACATGTACATATTGAGAAATAGTGAGTGAAACAAAAAAAAATGGATGCTAAACTCGAACCTAGACTGAAGATGCAAACGAAAAGGTCATTATAATTTAAATAAAGTCTGAACAATAATATGATTCTTGATGTTATGACTTACTATTCTGTGTGTGTCCAGGCAGTTTAAACACGTATTGTGGAGCAGTGTCAGTAGATATTGGGGTACCATGCGGGTCAGCGTATAACAATAATAAAGGTTGATAATGTCCACGGCGACATTTCTCTACGACATCTTCCCAAGAATTTCCAATCTACAACAAACGTAATCAAAGAAAGTTGAGAAAGAGCTCCCACTGGCGGAAAGTATTTGATGCAAACAATGAAAATGGCAGAGAAATATAAATTATAATTTTAAAATCTATGAAAATAAATTGAAACTATATATTGAACAGACCCACAAGGTATAAAGTATTGTTTGAATTTTGACAAATTGTTAGTAATTCACAAAATCTCCGTTTGTCAACAAGGATAACATATTTGCTTTACTAGAAGCGTATTTTCAATAGATGAGCATATAAACTAATAATTACATTAGTTGCACACTGAATCATTTATTTAAAAATATTACTTATATTACACCTCTATAATTTATGTAAGTGCATATGCTAGTAATACGATACTATACCGAGAATTAAGATGGATCAACTCTGGTAAATGGAGGGTATTCTTACCTCTCTCACAGTCGCATCATCAAAGTATATCCACACTCTAAGCTTAGTGTGGAAGAAGAAGGTAGAGTAATGTTTGCCGTAGTATGTTACTATGCCAACAAGGTATAATGTAGATCGATGAGCTCTTTCGTCAAACACACCCTGAAATACCTGTAGGAAGTAATGAAATCAGTTGTCAACAACTTTGTGTAAAAATTACAAAATATATACTGTTCTACATTGAATCCAGGCATTGGTTGTGTGTAAGTTTGAATTTTGTGGAAATAATATATTTTACACATATTGTATTTGTTGTATGGGACCCACACCAAAGCAAAGTCCAAATGTGTAGGTAAGTCATTGTGAAGTAAAAATATTGAAAATTTTATCACACGAAAATTTTTTTTGAATGTCGTAGTTCGAATTTTATTTTAAAATAGATGATATTTCTAACAAACCATCAGACACAAGATTGAATGTACTTTAACCATCTCACCACCTGACTTCCTAACCCAAATTTTTCTGATTTTTTGTTCTTATATTCTTCAATATATCTGGAAATGAACCTTAATTTTGGGACCAACAAACAACATTAGAGTAAATTTTCAAATTTACTCCAATTTGCCCCAATCTTCTGAAGGAAAGTGCAAATTATAAACAATTTTGCGAATTTGGGAAGAAAATAGGTAACTGGTGATGAAAAGGTTAACCCCTTTTATAGCTAGCTAGTATTTATTTATTTCTCCATAATCATTTCGGACTAAATGCGCATAATTTTCTAAAAGCTACAGACTGATAACAATTTTGAGTAAAATCCAAGAAAAATGTAACATTTTATTTTGTGAATGGTGATGAAAATTGACTTTGCTGCTCAACCACTAATTTCAGTATAGATGAATATTCATGAATTTCATTGTGATCTTTAAGATAGTGAAGATTCATCCACTAAAACTCAAACGCTTAAAAAAAACGATCGGTAGCAGAAATAAGCAGTTTACAGAATACTTACGTATGGTAGTCTAATGGTTGTACCAAGACTTCTTATGACATCCATAATATGGTCAATACTGGGCTGATCAGAGTCCCATACTAGACCTATACTTACTGAAAATAAACAGAACATCATAAAGTGGTATTATCCTAAAAGCAGATCTTTTATATACATTTATATAACCGCATGTTCTAATAATTGAGCAAATACAGTAAACAGGAAAAACTAATTTAAAACTTGACAAAAATTACACCTGGGTAATCTTTTGAATTCCAGGATATTTCCAGCATAATTTTGGAAATTTTTCAGTAATTTTTTCGTAATTTCATGGTTAGTTTGAAAATTACAAGAATTGTCAACACTACACATAGGTGGCGCCATTCACATTGTTGAATACTAGTAGTTATAAAGTAAACAAAGTATACAAAAATATTATATATTGAACACAGAGGGCGCCTGTAACATCATAAGTACCTGGTAAAAGAATAAAAATTCAAATTGGCCAAAGTAATTCACAAGTGCCCATATAAGATATAATATTTACCTATTTCTGGACAATTAACAAGAGATCGTTTGATTTGAATAGTTTTACCACAGTTACTCTGTAAAATAAAAAAAAAATTGTTTTAATTTTGTAAATTTATGTAACATGATGAAATACACATTATAACAGTAAATGCAAATCTTACATATCATCAAATAGTTCTCTAATCAACTTGTAAAAAACTCTACTACACAAAAACAAAACAAACATTGTGACAAATGATACTCACAGGGCAGTTTCGTAAATCACCAACTCCGCCAGCATTGGCTAATAATTTACTAAACATAGATGGTTCACTTGTAATATTTTCTTTTATTATCAGCTTGGCTTGTGTACTATCAAAAAAAAAAAAAATACGGAATTACAATGAAGTCAGACAAAGTGTTCTATTTTTAACATAATCCCAGCATGAGTGATGCAATATGATACGTTGAAAAAAAACGTCAAACAAACAAGCTGCTCTCGGATTGGTCAGAATGATAGGTGTTAGGGTTAGGTAACTAATCAGGCACAAGTTTATAAGTAGTTTCACATTGACACACTCAAAACAGAGGTGAATTTTTGTGAATCCATCCACATTGCAACACTATACAAAAGCGTTAACCAATGATATTTGAACAAACAATGAAACAGGAACTTAAAACAGTCCCCAACTTTCGGCCATGCTGAAAATCATTGAAAATTCAACATTTTGTTCATAATTATCTTAATTTGATCATCAATTATTTTACACAGTCACAGAACTATAATAAAGA